AAGGAAGCTGAGCGCAAGGCTGATCTGCGGGCTCGATTAGACAAACTTTATGATGAAGATCCTGTAAGAGGAGGCTTGCAACAACCGCCAATGCTGAATGTTCCTCCTCCACAAGTAAGAGGACCACCAGGCCCCCCAGTGGGGCTGCCAACAGCAACCACAACCTCATCACAACCTCCTCCTACCAGTCAAGCAACTTTCCTTCCATCTGCTCCACCACCTTCAGCAGTGCCTGTAAGTGGTCAACCAGTTCCTCATGTGAATATTCCCGTTGCACCTCCAGGAACTGCACTTTCTGTTCCACCTGTGTCAGTTCCACTCATACCTCCAGGCGTCACACCAGCAGCTCCTCAGCCTACTCCAGGTATTGGTCCAACAAGTGGTCCCGCAGGACAGATGGGAGCATCTCAGGTTGTGCCACCAGGAGTGCCCCCAGGTGTACCGCCAGTAGTTCCTCCTGGGGCACCTCCTTCAGGGCCTCCTGGTGCTCCACCTGGTGTACCTCCACTTATGTTCCGCCCTCCACCACCCATGCGAAGTGGCCTTCCACCTCCACCGGGAGTTCGTCTGCCACCAGGTCCTCCACCTCAGGGAATGCCTCCCAGACTGCCAAACATGCGAATGCCACCACCAATGCCTCCACGCCTTCCTATGCGACCACCAGGTGTACCCCCAGTTATGCCTCCACCAGGGATGCCGCCACGAGGGTTACCTCCTGCACACAACCCCAATGTCTTATCTGCAGGACCTCAGCTTATTGCTCGGCCCAGAGAGGATGACAAGAAACATTCGGCAACTATTGAAGCAAAGCCGCAGATCAGGTTAGCTTTAGATAATAAAGGCCTTTTTATATCAGTTCATAGATATGGGGAATGCAAATACAAATTGCTCCCATGATTGATTGATAGATGTATTTAGATGCAAGATGGGATTTGCTTCCAGTTTGTAAATTCTAAAGCCAATTTGTGATTTTAAGAAATTAGTGTATCTTTCAAAATTTCTAATACATAGAATTTTTTTTTATAGGAACTTGAGTGCAGATGTCACCCGTTTCTTGCCAACGGCACTCAGAGTCAAGAGAGAAGACAAGAAGAAAATGGGAAAAACACAGACAGGTGAGTTGAGAGTTGTAAAGTTGATACATTGAAGAAAACTTATAGAGCATTCTTTTAAAATGTAACAGAAAAAAAAAGAAAAGAAAATTGCTAATGCCAATAGATACTTTTTTTGGGAGGGAATAAGGGTATTTACAAGTATTTCCCAGCAAATGTCATATAAACAATGAAATTTTAAATGTGACTTAATATAATAAAAACCAAGGATTTCTGCCACTGCATATGTGGCTTTCAAATGACATTCTTGTATTGTGTAAAATGTTCTTCTACTGTTGCTTCTGTTTTTTTTTTATAGATAATAATTGTTTCTTTACTTCACAGATGTCAAAGAAGTTGGAGGAGGGAAGGCAGAGGAAACCGACCGGAAACCGACCAAAGACGATGCTTATTCTCAATTCATGCGAGAAATGGAGGACCTTTTGTAGACCGCATTTTGTCCCCTGTACAGAATCCTTTTTCTCTCTCTTTTTCAGCTTTATTGTACATTTGATCTCCATGTTCTTTAATGTTTATTGAATCAGTAATATTTGCAGAAATATTTACATGAAAAGTTGTCATTTTTCAAATTTAATTTCCTTATTTTGACTGATGTAGTTTTGTTCAGTACAAATATAGCAGTTATAACGATTATCTCTGCATCTATTGTAATATATATTCTTAGGGATGTATTTCAGTTTGTAAGGTTATTTGTTTAACCATTTGCTTTATTTAAGGATAAAACAATGAAAATAATACCACTGAGAACAGTTGTTGATAGTTCAGAAAATGTAACCATTAAATGATGGTTTGCAAAAAGACTTGCTGTTACAAAATGTTAAGTCGTCAAGGCCATAGATCGCTTTTGACAGTAAGGAAGTTAAGCAGCATAACTGCAAGTGTATTAAATTCTAATCTATAAAAAATGCTGGTGGTGTTGCTATAGGCTGCTCCAGAAAAATTGTCAGTGGTTGTAGAAGAAACACATGGTTTTCCATAACTAAACAGCTTGATGAAAATATTGAAGTTTAATAACACTTTTTATTTATTGTTATGTTTTTCTGCAATGTAAAGTGTATAATACCCACAGTGTCATTTTAATTCTATTGAAAATAAAATATGAAATACATACATGTTTTTCTTTTTCATCATTTATATGGAGTGTTAAAAGTAAGTTGGCAAATTTGGAAGTAAGATATATTAATTTCCTGGATTGTTCGCTGATTCTGTTGTAGTTTGTCCTTGAAATCTATTTCAAGACAGTTTGAAGCAATATCCATGGTATGCCAAAATCTGAGATAAAAGGTCACCTCTTAGGTCCTGTGAGTGATATGTTCGGTTTGCTATTATTTAGCCCTTAAATCTGGCATTTCAAGACTATTTGAAGAAATAAAATCCATCCAATGCCCATGTCCAGTTGTGCACGATATAATAATAATGAGACAAATTTTAAATTTTAGATTCATTTTCTTTGTAAATGAACCAAAATAAAATTTGTAATATTGGGTGGATTTATAGTTCATAATAAAATTATATATAGATTTTATAAATTAGCTTAGCATAAATGGAAAAAGCCAAAAAAAACTTTGAAATGGGCTCTATAATTAGGAAATTAAGGAAACTGTTTTATTAAAGTTTGATGTCTGATATTGAACTTCAATATTAACCTGTTGGATCCGAGTGCCTTGCTGCCCACATTTGTACCAATATCCAGCCATTAGGCTTGCTTGAGTGTTGACTCCTAGGTGTGTGGCTTGTAGGTCTGGCCCACATGATGAACACTCGTTTACAGTGTTTACAGTGTCAAGACTCGCTGCCTATTCTTATCAATTTTATCTTCTTTTTTGCATATTTTTTTATTTCCAGCATCAAGACTGATTGGCTCCTCTTATCAATGTTATTTCCTTTTCTACACAATATATTTGTTTTTCTTAGATATTCTTAGATGTATGTTTGTCATTTGATATCAAGACCATATCATCTCTAAGCAGTCTACAACTCTATGCAATAATAACAATAGCAGTAACATTTTTATTATTGGGGTCATTTTAAAGTGTTATTATATTATTCAATTTTCTTTAACACCCTATGGGCAGGAATAGGATCTTGAACATAGAGCTGGTATTCTTCCATCCATGGTTCACGGATAGTACATTCCAGCCTTGTTTGCTGGTATAAATAAAGAGCCACTTTTGAAATGCCCCACTGAGTCTAGTCTTCCTGCAAGAGCTTTATGCTCTCATGAAGAGTCATTCCCATTACCCTAACCTTTAGCCAAATTTTTCATGATGGCACATTGCTATCACCCCAGCCCTCAGCCAAATTTTTCCACAACATGGTCATGTCACCCATATCCATTGGATTAATTCATCCCTTTTATGAATACTGTTTTCAAGCCTGTTTATTTTAACCCAATGACAACAGGGTAGATGTTGCACTGAGATTGTAACCCACTGACACAAAAGTGCATGTACACACGCAATTGAAATCTGAATTCATCATCTTTAACCCACTGTTGATGGGATGGCAAGAATATATGCCATGTACATTGAGTCTTTTTGTTTATTGATTATTTTACACATAGATGGCTTAATGACCAAGGGATTAATTACAAGTGCATCTTAGGTTACCAATTTCTTTTTCTTTGATTTTAGGATTTATTTTGGGTTAGCTGTTGCTGCTATTCATCACCCAACAACTGTAGACCAATTATGCACTATCATGCAACATTACCTACCCCTGCCATTTGCAAGATATTTGTTTTTTATTTGATTGGTCCTCTGTAACATAAGGACTACTTTTTGATTGGCAACATATTTATTTATGTATTGAAAATTTTCTGCTGCATCTACATCGAAGGCCATTAGTGGCTTATACAAAATATAGCTATAGGGTGGAGCTTGGTGATGAAACTCCCAAGTAAGAAATTTTTGGGTTCAGTATGGAGATCTTTGTAGATTTCCAGAACAGTCAATGGTCAAAACAAGCAAATGTTCCAGACATCAAAGGTCACAACAGCATTATGGTAAAGTACTGTGGCAAAAAGGGTAAACATGAGTTAGTGAGTGGACAGAAGGGTATGAAAAAGAGAAGAAAAAGGAATGAGTAAGAAAACCCTTCAAAATTAGTTGAGGTGAAGGCCACGGTCCAAAGTTGGGATGATCCCTACAATAGGCCTCAGTCTCCATCTCCTAGGTCACCCCCCACAGCAATAGAGAGCAAAGGATTGGTGGGGATGGGTAATATAGATTTGTAAATATATAGTCATCTGTTATATCTTATTCCTAAACTTTTCTACAACACAGGTTTGAAATTCAGATAATAAGAGGTGAGTTTAAAAGAATTAACCCCTTGCCGCCGGGTGACGGCGATACGCGTGTAAACAAATCGCTCGAAAGCTGGCGTGCGGCCAAACCAGCCGGCGGCGCGCCAAAGCGCGGCGAGCCAGTGATTCGGGCTGACGCCCCGTACTCCGGCGCTCAAAGTCGGCGCGCCGCCTTTGTTTGCCAGAGCGTAGAGTTTTTTTTTCCTTTTGTACACCCGGTGTCATTGGGTTAAAGAATTAAAGGGAGAGTATTACAAAATTTAAAAGTTAGAAGGCCCACAGAAAAATCATTCCTATTAGCATTAAAGAGCTATATATTCATGTTTTAAAATTTTCTGTCTTCACATATTTTTCTTTTTTATGTAGTAATAACCATAGCATTTATTATTTTTTAAAGTAATCTTTTAGATTTCTACCATTATATACTTGGCTTTTTCACATAATTAGCCGTATTTTCTTTTTCTCTTGTAATCTTATATTTTGAAAAATAACTGAAATATCCAACACCTCAACTTCTGCTACCTCCCCCTTTCACCATTCTTTTCTACATAAATTCCCTCTGGAATTGTTAAGCAAACCAAAAATTAACCTTTCTTGCAGTGAATATGTACAATACATCTCAACTGTATCTTTATTTACATTGCAAAGGACACTGCTACATAACTTATAAACTTATAAAAATTAACTGAGAAAAGGATCTATTCTTATTTAACATTTAGCTCCATCTGTAGTGAGCATAGGCACGGTTGGCTTCACACTGCCGATGGAGATCCTGCTTCTTTTTCACAACACGGCCCTGTTGGATAAACAAAATAACTGTATGAAGAATAAGAGAAATAATCATGACTCAGTATCATAATAAGGTCTAACTAATAACAGAAATATTAGCCACATACTGCTAAATACAAAATATAATGCAGCTTCTGATTTACAATAAAAACAATAAAAATACTTTAATTATGTTTTAAAAACAGTATTGTCACCTAATTAAAATAAAAAAAGAGACTTGGAGAATCAGAGTATTCCAGAGTCTTGAGAGAATTGCTGCTGTTTTTCTTCCCCTCCCTCCCTTCTTCTTCTAAGATTGGACACAGTATATTAATTTACATACAATAATCATTTAAATATAGAAACAGTATGGAAGTACAATAATAATAATTAAATAAAATACCTCATTTCTGGAAGCATCTATGAGTTCTTTTGCCAATTTTTCGGGGAAGTGAACCTTTCTCTCCTTCTCTCTGCCGGATTCAACGAGCCATCGCATTGAAACAAAGTATGAATGCTTTTCTGTTATTGGCACTGGCACCTGAAAAAATAAGGGTGAAAATAGACAAATCATAAAAATACTATAGTATAGATGAAGTATTACAATAAATAATTAAAAGGAAAGAAATCAATCAGACAAGACATCTTCCAAAATTCTCATTACTGGAGCTGATTTTGAGCAACATAGTTGTTCTTAAACAAAGTCCTCTCTGTACAACAGTGTAAGAGAACTGTGATGTCAGTGCTACTACTAGCAGAAAAGATAAAAGAAAAAAGAAAAAGAAAATCAAGATAATCATAAATATGTATCATCACCTATATTCAAGAAAACTTGAAATATTTATTAATAGCCAATTATGAAACACATACCTGGTATTTAACACCACCTCGCTTAATGGGGGTAAGCTGTAGCAGTGGTCGGGTGTTCTCGACTGCATTACGTATGATGTTGATTGGATTACATTCAACTGAAGCTTTCTCCTCCTCAGTCTCTGCCTGGTGATACTTCTGGAGCTGCATTCGTTTAATATTTTCAAAGGTCTGTGGATAAATGGGTATCAGATTGTGTGCTCATTACATTTACTTCTGTTCCTATTTATACCAATATGCTCATGCAGACACAAACACACTGACATACTGACCCATGCACAGACAAGGATACATAACTCCAATGTCAAGGCATCCAAAACTATCTGATGAATTTTTAAAAATATCTTAAAACCTAGTTTCATTGAAACACAGAAAAAAGATTAATCTTTGGAAAAAACAGAAAGAGAGCGGTTCTAATTGCTAATTTCATAAACTAATGAAAACTCTTTTCAAAGTATACATGAACAAAATAGTTTCTCTTTATTATTATTATTTCTTTACCTTTTCCATGAGATCTCGAGCCAAGGCTTTGTTTCCTGTCTTCATAACATAATTTGTAAATTTCCTGCAAAAGATATGGTACTCGAGTAAAATTCATTTGACAGATAATTATATATTCACTTTAGATCATAAAATACTCAAATGCAAATTCAAAGAAAAAGCTGTGATAAAGAGGGCAAATGGCATACACCATTCCCCAAATCACCAAGAATCCTTTTATCTATAAGAGTTCTATCAGACAAACTAATATTGCAATAAAATTAAGACTAATAGCTGATTATATAAAATTTACAAAATTATTATCAGATCTACGGTAAAATAGTACTTAAAAATAAAAGACATATGTGCAAATATTGTATATACTAAAATTAAATATCCATAAACATTAAAAAATATATATATAAAAATAAATACTTCAAAATAACACATCTTGATAAAATACTTACGCTACCAAAGGATCATGGAAGATTGAACTGGTCTGATTATTCAAGGCTGCTTTTATTGGTGTAAATGCCAGACTTTCAGTTTCTCCTGATTTGGATAATTCTTCTAAATTTTCTTTGCGATATATAGGCTCTGCATATGTTGGTGGGTATTGGCTGTAGTGCCTCCATGGTCCCTCAATAAACCTGGTAGTGCATGAAAAAATAAATCTGTGATAACAGCACATGAAATATATACTGAACAGATCAAAATAAACAAAAAGATCATTTTTTCCCCCTCAGATATCTACTGTACACATCTCAAACAAATTATAATGGATTTGTAATTTCATGACTACATATTTAACATATGTATCAGTTTTTATCATTTTGGGAATACAGAGAAAATGGTAGCAGAAATACAAGTTTATATTCATAACCCATTCATCGTCAGTAACTCTCCTCAATACATTAAAACAATAAATTCTGTGTCAAAATCATGCAACCAATGTATGCCATTAACCCAATGACGCCGGGTGTACTAAAGGAAAATAAAACTCTACGCTCTGGCAAACAAAGGCAGCGCGCCGACTTTGAGCGCAGGAGTACGGGGCGTCAGCCCGAATAAAAGGCTCGCCGCGCTTTGGCGCGCCGCCGGCTGGTTTGGCCGCACGCCACCTTTCGAGCGATTTGTTTACACGCGTATCGCCGTCACCCGGCGGCAAGGGGTTAAGCAGGGTCCATAAAATTGCCCTACCCTAATACTGGAATGCATTACACAATGTAGTGACCAATTCAATAGTATTAGAGAATTTGACACTGCGCATGTCTGACAGGAACTCCTAGAAAAATAGTCAATAGACATCTCGGATAGTCAGAGAATAATGTCAGATAATAAAAAAAATAGGTTGCGTCTAAAGTCACACGGAGAGTCCATGGTGATTGCATGGGAGTCGAGAGGAGGAGCCCCAAGAGGATATAAGGAGATTCATGCATGTAACAATGTGCGTAACTGACACAGGGTATAATAATTGCAAGGTTGGATTGCTGTGTGAAACTAAAACAATTGCTGACAATAATTTGGCAGGGAATTCTATACACTGATCAAGTTTAATCAAGATCACAGTGACGAACTGAAATGCTTTCTGTGCGACTTATCCATCAATACGTAAATGAAATCATACCTACATAAGTGATTCAATGTTTATATCAGCTTGTGGGAATAGATCTAATTGTTAATGTATTTAATTGCCATGTGATACGAATATGGTACTAACTATGTGTCTAAAAGTACGACTACGTGTAACTTTTTCATTTTCTAGACTAACACACACACGAGCTTATTCCATGACTTAATTACCATCACACCTCTTGAACTCGCACTGGAAAACTATCAAACGCGTGTGACAACTCATGCTAAATAAAGAAAATAATAAAAATACATAAATCAACACAAACGTATCCCTACATCCTATTCAGCCCTCATCACGTCCCTTTCATTAAATTCGACAAACTAACTTAATCACACGTCTACTTCTCCTCTCCTTGCATCCCAAATCCCAGACATGAATCAACCAACCGATTGCAGAGGAGGGGGGGAGTCTGTCCTCTGTTGCAAGGCCGGAATTGCAAGCGAGCCAGAGAGCGAGTCCAGCCGGCCATGTTTACGTCTGAAATGTTGACATGAGGAATTCCATCCTGCGTTTTTTGATTTTTGGGATTGTTTGTTGATTGTTTGGGATTGTTTAATTACTTTAATTACAATTTCAATGTTCTAATGGTCGATTATAATTATGTAGTGGTACTTAGAGTACAAATAAGGGTGGTATATAATAGGTGGAATAATGTAATATTCGGCAATGAGGTTATGGTACTTTTTTACGCAAAAGATTTTATTATAATATTGTGATAAATAACGATACCAAAAAAAGAAGAAAACATTGTAACGAAATTTCGCGAGAAAATAAGGATCATAACCCATGTGCAATATAATAAGCAAAGGGATACGCCCGAAGAGAAGATTCCAATACTTTAAAAGAAGGAGTCGAGTTTTCCTTTAAAACAGTCGAACACTTTAAAGGCCTCTAGTACGATACTCTTTCTAACGGTTGTCGAAAAGATGTGATTCATGTCACAAACCTGTGAATATGGAAGGAAGGAAGAGCGAGCGAGACCTTCATTATTGTTCTTCTAATTAGGGCGCTTAATTACTCATCACGATGGGAATATCAGACAAAGATG